TTGGATGTGGTTTTGGACCTTTGGAAAATGACACTAAGAAACTCTTTTATTCAACTCCTGTAGAGAATGTTGGGTTTTGTTTTTGTTGTTGTTGTTTGCTCATTTGTTTTTAGCAGTTTACCTGGCTTGATTTAGGCACAAGTTCCGACCTTTCTTCTGTGACTGATTCCACTGTTGATTCAGTTTTAAAGTTTTGTAGTGTTGTTTGAATTTGTCCCATATGTGTGCCAACTTGTAATTAGTCTTGGACCTGAGTGAAGTTGTTACTTTAGTTCTCAGTGTCTTTAGTATGCTAATTAGGATAAGAGCCTGCATATTCAGGTGAAAGAAGTGAGCCCAGGAGTTCATACAGAACTTTATGGAATTGTTTTCCCTTTCCACTATCTTGTAGTACTTTCAGGTTTTTTGAGATTTCTCTGTTTGGATCTCTGGTCAGAAACCACTTGCTTCCACAATTGTTCCACCTCTAGTACCAGTTGGTGGAAGAGTAGATGGGGGAAAGACTGATAAAAGGCTTTGGATCTACCATCATGCTGCCTTAACTTCATCAAATGAAGTTTCTTTTCCTTTAGGGTTCTGGCTCCTGTGGGCTCCTGTTGGTAGCCACTGTTGCTGCTACCATTGTTATGGGAGATCTTGGAGTCTGTGACATGAGAGATTGGAGAAAATAGATTGAACTCTCCCACCTCCATGAATTACCCCCAAGATTTTCTCTGAACTTTTAGGGTTTTTTTTTTTTTTCCTGATTCCTTCAGCCAGAAATAGGGGGATTCTTCTGCATCTTTCTCTGTCTGCATGAGAGTGTTCACTTCGAGATTTGAGGCTACATTGGATTCAGGCTGGAGAGATATTGGAGGTAAAAGAAATGCAGACTTGGTGGTGTGTGAATTATAGTTTTCTTCCCCATTCTACTTTTTTCTCAGGTAGCTGCACTACTTGATCCTCAAGTAGCTGCATTATCCATTCAGTCCAGGTTTTTACAGTGGTCAGTTGGATAAAAAAGGTATTGTGTGTCTATTCCATCTTACCTAGTACTGGACCCCTGCTACATTTTGAGAATATACTGGATATAAGCCCTTTATTAAATAATGATTTACAAATATTTCCCCTGGTTTGTGGCTTATCATTTCATTCTCTTGAAAGTGTCTTTTAAAGAGCAAAAATGCTAATTTGATGAAGTACAGTGTATCTTTTTAAAATATTTGTACTTTTGAGATCAGATCTAAGATATCTTTGCCTAATGCAAGGTCACAAAGATTTTTTTCTATGCTTTATTCTAGAAGTTTTATAGTGTGAAGTTTTACATTTATGTCTAGAATCCATCTTGAATTCTATATATGGAATGAGATATAGATTTAAGTTCATTTATTTAGATAAGGATGTCAAAATGTTTCAGCACCCTTAACTGTAAAAACTACTATTTCTCCACTGACTGCCTTTATACCTTTGTAAAAAAAAAATTAGTTTCCCTATATATATGGTTCTATTTCTGGACTCTATTCTGTTCCATTATTCTGTCTTTTGTGGTAAAATATGCATAATATTTATCATCTTAGCTATTTATAAGTGTATAATTCAGTGACATGAAGTACATTCACAATGTTGTATAATCATCACCATTACCTATATCCAAAACTTTATCATCCTCAACATAAACTCTTTATCTATTAAACAATAACTCTCAAATTATCTCTTCATCCCAGCCCCTGGTACCCTCTATTCTACTTTCTCTCTATATGAATTTGCCTGTTCCAAGTACTTCATATAAGTGGGCTCATACAATATTTGTCCTTCTATGCCTGGATTATTTCCTTTAGCATAAAGTTTTCAAAGTACATCATGTTGTAGAAATACAAAAATTCCATTCCTTTTTATGGCTGAATACTGTTCCATTATATGCATATACTTGGAGATAGTTGAGTTTCTTGGATTTGTAGATTGATGCCTTTCATCAAAATTGGGCCATTTTCAGCCATTATTTCTTCAAATATTCTTTTTTTTTTAAAGATTTTATTTATTTGATAGAGAGAGAGACAGCGAGAGAGGGAACACAAGCAGGGGGAGTGGGAGAGGGAGAAGCAGGCCCCCCACAGAGCAGGGAGCCCGACGCAGGGCTTGATCCCAGGACCCTGGGACCATGACCCGAGCCGAAGGCAGATGCCTAACGACTGAGCCACCCAGGTGCCCCTCAAATATTCTTTCTGTCCCTTTCTTTTCTTGCCTTCTAGGACTCCCACAATTCATATGTTGATCCATTTGGTGGTGTCCCTCAGGTCCCAGGTCCCTTAGATTCTCTTCATTTGTCTTTTAAAAAATTTTTTGCTTCTGTTCAATTACACTATCTTCACTACTTCTTTTTTGTCTGCTCAAATCTGCTTTTGAACCCCTCCAGTGAATTTTTCATTTCAGTTATTGTAACCTTCAGCCTCAGAATTCTTTTGGTTCCTTTTTATAATGTATTTCTCTTTATTGATATTCTTATTTCATTCATGCATTGTTTTCCTTTGTCCCTGTCTTCCTTTAGTTCTTTGAGCCTCTTAAAAAGACAGTTTTAATGGGGACATTGGAGAGGGAAACAAACCATGAGAGACTGTGGACTCTGAAAAACAAACTGAGGGTTCTAGAGGGGAGGGGGGTGGGAGGATGGGTTGGCCTGGTGGTGGGTATTGAGGAGGGCACATTCTGCATGGAGCACTGGGTGTTATGCCCAAACAATGAATCATGGAACACTACATCAAAAACTAATGATGTAATGTATGGGGATTAACATAATGTAATAATAAAAAAAATCATCTGCTTATCTCTGGAAAAAAAAAGACAGTTTTAAAAAAGTCTTTGTCTAGTAATCTCAGTGTTGGGGCTTCCTCAGGGTCAGTGTCAATTAATTTTGTTCCTTTGGATGGTCCATACATTTCTATTTCTTTGTATGCCTGTGATTTTTTTGTTATTTGAAAACTGGACATTTGAATCTTTTAATGTGTTAACTCTGGAAATCAGATTTTCTTCCTTCCCCCGAATTTGCTGTTTTTTTTCTTTTTGTTTTGTTTTGCTTTGGTTTTGTTTTTGATTGTTAAAGGGTGTCTCTGTGTTGGGGATTAGCCAGAGTTGAAAGCTCAAGGTCTCCTCAGGTCTTTTTGAGCCAATGTCTTTCCTTGGGCTTGTGTGATGGTGGCTTTCTAAATTCTTCTATATGTTTATTTGCTTTTGAGTGACCTAATCCTTAAATGTGTGACTCCCAAAACAAGGGAAAGGGTAGGGAAGAAACCCAAACATGTGTCATTCCTTCAAATGCTCTGGAAGCAGCTGTAGTCAATAGGGGTTGAAACAATGGTGGCCAGAAACTGCTAGCCAAGATTTCCCCTGAAAGCTGTAAGCATTTAAATAATGAGAGCTCTGAGATAGTTAATACAGTTCCTGCCAGTACAGTTGTTGTGTACCTAGAGAAAGGGATTCCTGGTGCTTCCTACCCCTCCAGCTTCTCTGAGGTTACTTTCATATAATCTTTTATAAAGTTCTTTCTCAGCTGTCCTGAAAGGAACCAAGGGAGGAAGTATTCACCCCTGGGCCAGTGCTTTAGAGACCAGAAGAGTGTTCCTTAGATCAGACTAATGAGGCAGTGGGAAAACCTGCCCCCCGCCCCGACAAGAATATGGAAAATCAGAAAGATAAAATGTAGACTACCTGGACAACCATGTTGCCTCACTTGAGGATGGACTTCCAGGACCAAAATCCTGGTATATCTGGGTCCTGTTTCCCTTAAGATGAGTCCCCCTTTTCCAGGACTGAGGAGTCTCTATTTTGGTCTATCCTCAGTTGCATGCAGACTACAATTTGGGGCTCGAATATTGAAGGCAACCTTTTTCTGACCCTTGGGAGTGTTCCTTTGTCAAATGCACTTAAAATGAATACAAAGAGATCCCAGTTCTCCAGGGACTGGCAGTTAGATTGAGCAGCTGCCCTTAAATAACATACCTTTAAGTAGAGTGTATGGTCCTCTATTAATGGTGTTCAGTATATTCTGCCTTGATCCTAGAGAGAAGCAATTTTATTGCTTTTTGCCTTTCAGCACATCTGTACCCAGCACATATTTGTTGAATTAATGCATTGGGTGGAACAGTTGGATAGGTTCTCTGTAAGAATTTACTGCTAGGACCCTCATTTGCACCTAATAATCATGTATGCAAATATATGTATGAACTTCTGTAGACTTAAGTATAAGTAGTCCCTAGACAGTGATTCTCAAACCTTGCTACTCATCAGAATCTCCTGAAGAACTTTCCCCAAACGCTAATGCCTATGTTTTAACCATAGAGATTGTTTTAATAAGTCAGGGGTGGGAGCCAGGAATATGTAGTTTTCAAAAAAAAAATACCTGTGTTATTCTGATAGGCAGCCAGAGTAGAGGACCACAAACCTTTGACTGCCTAAGACAATCTAGTAGTCACAGTAGAGGATATAAAGTGCTTTCTATTATTTAGGGAGATTCTGGGTTAGACATTATAGCATACAGTCAAGAGCAGTAGTTTTGGAGCGTGGAGATTGTATTCCATTCTCAGCATAGTCACTTCCAAGCTGTTAGGCTTAGACAAACTAATCTTTCTGGGCTTTGGGTTTTTTGGTTTTTGATTTTAATAGAATAGGGACTTTACGGTTACCATTAGAATTTATGTAAATCCTTCCTTAGCACAATACCTCTATTACAGCACACAATAAATGTTAGATTTATTCTGGTGTACACATGTGCCACCGGATTAGTTCGTATGCAGAATGTACTGAAGTACACCTTCTCCAGTCAGTTCTTTAGGAAACTGGTGGGGGGTGGGTGCTAGTTTTCCGGTACCCCAGCCAAGTGAAGGTCAAAAGCCAACCAAAAATGAGGAGTACTATTGGTACTGGTTGTTTTCCGGGCTCCAAGTGCTGTGCTACACATTGTCCACCAGGGGCCGCTGAAGCCACCTAAGCTCAGCGCGCAGAGGGGAGGCCTCCGCGCGTGCTCACTGGGTGCTGCGCGCGCCTCCGAACCCCTGCGCCACTTTAGATTTCGCCTGCTGTTTTCCTGGTGGCTTCCCCAAACCAAACCTCTGTGGCTGAGTACGGCAGCGCTTCGGGGACAAAAATCTTTCTCTTCTCTGGGCTCGGCCTTGTTAATTGTTCCGTGGTTAAACCGGGCGGCAAGTATTTGGGTCCCCGTTGCGCTGCTATTCAGGAGGTAGGGGGAGGCTGAGCCCGGCGCTGAGTTCGGGCTGACTGGGGCTTGGGCCCAGCGAGTCGGTGCCGCTGCGCGGATGTTGCGATGGCTGATCGGGGGAGGCCGAGAACCTCAGGGACTGGCGGAGGTAAACACCCAGGCGACCCCGCCTGCCCCCGCAGAGCCCGAGCTTGCCCGAGCGGTGGCTCCGGTCTGAGCCCTGCTCCCCGTCCAGACGCCGGAGCCCCATGCAGAGGCGGGGCCTGTGGGCTTGGAGGCTGTCGAGGGCGTGGTTGGCGTGCGGGGGAGGGGGACTGGCGCGGATGGGGACACTGACCGTAGCCATTCGGAACTCCTGATTCCCTTAAGACCTCGAGAATTAAATATCCCCTTTTCAAAAGGAGGAAGCTGAAGCTGATACGATTCAACAACAGGTTCAAGAACTAGTCTTCTCCGTACTTAAACTAGCTTCATTTCAATTAAAATTATCTGACTTACTAAGAAGCAAACAAGTGGTGACTGCAACTTTCTAGTTTATTAGAATTGGTGGCACTTCCAACAACAACTGATGCTTGCTCAGGGAATGGAAAATCTATTTGATTATTTATTCAACAACAACAAAATATAAAATTATTTTTAAAAATTAATAATTTGCTTCAAAGTCAAGAAAATTGTTTTTTTAATTAACTCCTATTTTTGGTTCCATAGTCACTCTTTCTTCATGGGCCTGAATAATTGGATTGACTGTAATTTACATTTGAAATGTTGAGAATAAAATAATTTTGGAATCTTAAAAGGATTGAGGTCTGAAATTTATTTCAGTTGCCACCCTAGAATTAGAGTTTGTATTTGGATTCCCTTTTATTTATAGGAAATAGTTGTTTTGATTGTTTAAAAAGTTGGGGTTGTGAGTCAGCAGCCTTACTTCTCACTTTTAACTTCCTCATACCTTTGCAATTGAGGCTTACTGTCTATTAAAAAAAATATTTCAAATCAGGTTCATTTCAGACAGGCTGAGATCTTAAACGTTAGGGAATAGTTGTAGATAATTATATATGTGACATGATAATTCTGTATTAACCCAATTATTTGATTAATCATATAATTTCATTATCTAATTCTCCCATGCCTGGTAAACTTTCATTTGAGGGAGGTGGTATACAGTTTTCAAATTTCTCACTTTTGCTTTTCTTTTCAGAACCACCGCTAGAAATGAGATGGTATAAATAAAAAGCACCCCCTCCTTTGGGGGTGATTTTTTGGAGAAAACATTTATGTATGTTAGGTTACACATTTTTCATGTTAAAGTACTTCACTTGTATACCCATTGTGAATTGTACTTTGTCAGAACCAATGATTTTCCTTAATTTATGCAAGAACTGCTTCTAGTTTTAGCAGTATTTCTCTGCTGGGATGATTTTGCCCTTAGGACGTATTTGGTTATGTCTGGAAACATTTTTGATTTTCAGAATGGGGGAGATTAGATTTCTATTGCATCTAGTATGTGGAAACTAGGGATACTGTTGAATATCCTACATAGGATAGTCCTCAACAGCAAAGAATTACCTGGTCCAAAATCTCAATAATGGCAAGTTTGAGAAATTTATCATGAAATAGTACCAGATTTGACTATAGAAAGGGGTTAGTAAGAGCTACCTTACGGAATAGTTGAGTGAATTATATGCCATATATGCTTTGCACAGTGTCTGGCAAATGGGCTGTGACCTAATTCTCTGTAAATGTTAGCAATGATCTTTATCAATATTATTGTCCAAACTTGAATTTATTGAATTTATCAGCTCTGAAAGATTTCATTCCTTCTTTTATTCAGTCAGCAATCATGTATTGAGTGCCTATAATGGTTTGGGCACTATTTTAATCTGTATTTACCCTTTTGACCTGCAGTTTTGTTTCTGTCAAGTTCTAATTGAGAAACACTCGTTCTAAATACTGAATTGGATTGGCCCATTGATTTTTTAGGTCAGGTTTATTGAGGTATAATTTCTTAACATAAAATTCACCTTTCTGCAAATTTATGGTGACTTGAAAATACTAAAATTTATGGCAAGGTGAGATTTCCCCCTCTTTACTTACATTGTTTTTAGTTAACAATCTGAAGAATGATGATCTGAGTTTAAGGATATTTAGATCAGTTCTAACATGATGTGGATTTGTAGTAAGAAAAATGTATGTTAAATTGGTAGTTAGTTGATATTAGGGGAAATAGTATATAGTATTAGAACATGGTATCTCACAGCTCTTTAAATCTTGTATTCTTAGACGTATACCATGCAGTTTTATTTCAGTATGGTCTTTTATCATAAATCATTTAATCTCTTTCTCTTTTGTTTTTCTTATTTTCCCCAATGCAAGAAATCTCCTTTACAGACAATAGGTGAAGAACAAACCCAGAATCCCTACACTGAACTGCTTGTACTGAAAGCTCATCATGATATTGTACGATTTCTGGTGCAGTTAGATGAATACAGGTAAGAAGCTCTAGTTGTCCAATTGCCTACTGTTTGGAAAGAATTTTTAGGGTATCATATATTTAAAAACAACTTCATAATTAATATCTTTTGTAAAAATTTCAAATCTGATCATTACTAACATTTATTAGAAATCAACATCTGCATCTTGATCAAATATGTGCCAAAGTCATTTTTTGCCCAGAAGTCAGGGTGTCATATCTGGTGACTTGATGGTGATTCTTGTTTGAGGTTTTTTTGTTTTTTGTTGTTAGTGCTTAGAAATGTTTTTTTTGTTAGTTTTGAGGAAGGGAATGACTTTAAAATTTGAGTGGGAGTTATGTTAAGGTGAACCTAAATTTGAGAAACAAATATAGGGAATGTTTAACTATGAAGTACCTACTAGGAATGTGCTATTTTTAGTGGAAGGTAAGGTAAGTAATCTGAATGTTTTGTTATTGAGGAAATCCTTTTAAAATGTGCATTATTTACTTCCTTGTCAACATGTTCAGTGTTGTGTTTAACTGCAAATAGAGATGAGGTATGTAGGTCTTAGGACTGTAGATTTAGCTTATTACTGATCTTTATATCTGTTTATTAAGCCCTTATTCAACTAAATGCTTAGTAGCATGTAGCATAAAAACAATTAGAGTTAATTTTGTAACTGTTTAATATTTATCTTCTCTAGAAGCTAAACTTCATGGGGGAGGCATGTTTTTCTTATTCACCACAGTATCCTTAGTACCTGGCACAGTGCCTTACATGTAGCAGGTAATTAATAGATAGTTCTTGAATGAGTGACTCCCCGCACTGTTAAGTGTGCGTGTTGCATGCCATCCTAACTCCCTAACCCCGTCTGTTTTCCCTGTCAATTTTCCCACTTTCATCTCTAATTTTCTCTTTTACCTTTGATACTATCTTTTTTTTTTTTTCCACTTTTGACTCCATGGGTCACTGCTCTTGTGATTATTCCTAATTCTGACCATCACTTCTAATGTCTATTAACCTTGTTTCTTCTCTGCTTTTTTTTTTTTATGTCTTTGGTAATGCTTTTCCCATGTGCAGTGCGAGTGTGACAGCACCTGGAGTTAGGTCAGATTTTACAGGTTAGGGGCATAGTCCTGCACAGCACTTCCCTCACCTCAGTCACCAGCTGCAGTCTCCAGGGGTGCCAGGCCACCCCCCCACACCCTCAGGTTTGATACTTACTAGAAGCACTGACAGAACTTAGGAAAGCAGTATTCTTAGGATTACAATTTTATAAAGGATACAGTCAGGACTAGCCAAGTGCAGAGATGCTTATGACCAGGTCTAGGAAGGCCTCGAATGCAAAGCTTCTGTGTCCTTAGAACATGTCACCCTTTCAGCACATCAGTGTGTATTACCATCAAGGAAGCTCGCTCAAGCTCTGGGTATCCAGAGTTTTTATTGGGGTTCATTACTAGGAATGATTGAGTCATTTGCCACCTGATTGAACTCAATTTCCAGCCCTTCTTTCCCTGCCCTGTCCCCACACTCCAATGCGAGGTTGAGAAGTCAGGTGGCTCAAAGCACAGCCCTCTAATTACATGGTTCATATTTCCTACATGGCTAGACCCTATCCTTAAATTGTCTAGAGGGCCCACCCTGAGTCATCTCATTTGCATAAACTGAGGTGAGGTCTGGGGAGCCCAGCTCCATTCTAGAAACCAGGGACACAATCCAGCCAAATTATTTTACAACAATATGTTCCTCAGCTTTTGCTTGAGAAGATTCGTTTCTTATATATATTACTAGCCTGTCAACATTGTTTTGTTGTGATATGAGCCAGCCAAATAATAACATGTAAACAATAGTATAATAATCTTCAGACTTTTTGGTAGTATTCATTGTTGATATGTTCTGAGACATTGTTTATTTAGCCAGCCAGTCAGTCAGATCTTTGAAACTAAACATTTCTGGAAATATAGGATATTTGGACAGCTAGAGTTTCTTGTTATTTTACCATATTAAGTTGTGAGGTAGGTTTTAAAAAACCCAAATGATTTCTTAGGCCATAAATCACTAATATTTGGGTCTTAAGGAATCCTCAGATCATGTTGTCTGAGAAAGTTAAATAAAAAATATACAATGTACTTTCAGGATGCAATCTTTAAATTTTTATATAGAATAACTGTTAAGATTCCATTTTCATTGTTATCCGTCCTGTGAAATGTCCTGTTGGCTCTTATTACATAGAAGAAGAATCTGCAGAAAAGCCCATCTCGTAGAATAATGATCATTGTGCAAATGCTGATATTTGATTACGTGTTCCCCACAGTGATGCTCCTGTATAAATCAGTTGTTTAATGAGGTAGTAAATGTTCTGTAAATGTAAAAAATGTTCATGTAAAAAATGTTCATGTAAAAAATCTAAAAAATTATAGACAGGTGTATCAGTTCTCTATTGCTCTCTCAAATACCAGCCCAAATACCACTTTCAAACAACCTGCTATTTACTTAACTCACTAACTGCAGGTAGCTACTGAGGGAGGGCTCAGCTGGGTGGGGTACTTTTTTTTTTCCATCTGTGCCCGGATCAGCTGATCTTGTTTAGGTTTACTTAATGCATGTCTGGTCAACAGGTAAATTGGCTGGGGATGTTGGTTCATATTGGTCTCAGCTGGGATGACTGGGCTTTCTCTCTGTATGGTTGCTCAAGTGCTTGTGCACATAGTGATCATGAAGTTCTGATATGAGCGAATGGGCGAACCCTGATGTAAAACTCTTCCCAAGACTCTGTATCATGTTTGCTGCTGTTTCATTAGCCAGAGTGAGTCAGGAGCTTGCACAGATTCAGTACCTGGATAAATAAACTCTACCTCTGGAGGGGAGAAGCGACTAAGTCCTGTTGCTAATGCTGGTGGACATAGGAAGGGAGGATAATTTGTGGCCATGTATGTTACCGATCACAGGGAATCTGAATGCCTAGAAATAGATGAAAAACCTACATTTTGGCTTTTGCAATAAAGTGAAGATTTTACTACATGAGTCACATTTAATTCTTTGTGCTCAAGTCGTTACTGTGTCAAAATTTACATCTAGTTAGATACAAGGTTTTCCTGTCAGTGAAAGACCTGTAGAAGTGTCAATGTGTGTTTGTTTTAAAAAATTTAATTCTGCCCTGAAAAACCCTGAAGGAGTCACTACTGCTAAGGAAGATATAAGAAATCTACATATTATATAAATACTTAAATTAAGAGCATGGCATTTTCATTCTTAATTTAGTAGTTTAGATAATTTAGAATTATCTTTACCATTGCTAATGTACATTATTTGTGTATGGTCAAATTACAGAAATATATATTATACTTTTTGTGTTTTTATTTAATTTTTGTGGGCCTTACATTCTGGTTTTTTGGTCAGCTGTTGTAATCCAGGTTTCACGCTTCAGGTCTTTAGATAATATCATTTTATTGAGAATTTTGCAGAAGGATTTTCTTGTTTTCTTGGCAGCTCGGCTAAAATCAGTGAGTGGAAAATTTTCACAGATTGGTTTTTGAAGATACCAAATAAATCCTGTATAACCTAACAGACAGCTGCCTTTTCTTTTCTTCTTTAGTGTTTTTTGAACATGAAGTGAGGGTCATATTGATTGGGAGATCACTAGAGAAGGCTAAGCCTCAGCAAGAGATTTCCAAAAAATGGACTGTGCTAAAATTGCATGTAATACTCTAGCATTTGACATATTAAACTAAACTGAGTTCATAACACATTTTAAGAATAGTTTTCTTTGTTGCTTATTTGACCATTCCTTGCTCCTCCAGGAAACAGACAAGGTTATGTAGGATGGTGATCATGACTGGAAAAGAATTAGGTGACCCATGAAATGCCAGACTAGAGAACAGAATGTGCCCCTAGAACAGCTGGTCCAGCTGTACATTTACAAGACACTAAACAAACTCATCCAGTTGGATAATTCACTAACAACAAACATTATGTTATATCTTTAAGGAAATATTCTTTTTTTTTTTTTTTTTAAAGATTTTATTTATTTGACAGAGAGAGAGCACAAGCAGGGGAAGCAGTAGGCAGAGTGAGAGGGAGAAGCGGACTCCCCACTGAACAGAGAGCCCGATGCAGGGCTCGATCCCAGGACCCTGGGATCATGACCTGAGCTGAAGGCAGCCGCTTAACTGACTGAGCCACCCAGGTGCCCCATTTAAGGAAATATTCTTAAGCTAAAATTATCTTTCTCACTGACATTTGGAGAATAGAAATCAGTAGTCAAGGTGATTTAGACCCTTTTCATACCTGAGTTCCCTGCAAAGCAGATAGCAAAATGGAATGAAGCATACAAGTGGTTTATTAGAAACATCAATGAGAGGAAAAGGGAGGAAGCAGGATTAGACAAGGGGAGCTATCTCAGACTGTGGTGTAGATCTGACAGTCTCTCTAGGCCCAGTGGGGAACTCTGGAGGAAAGAATGCTCTTTATAGGAATTCTGTGTTGGATAGAAACAAATGGGACTTTTAACCCTGCCTTGCTTAGTCACTGGCTGAGGGTCATCCAGGAACGTACTTAATTTCCTTTGACTGGGAGCCAGCTGAGATGGTTAGGACTTTGGCTTGAAAGCTGAAATGGACCCTAAAGTGAACAGCTGGAGGCAGGTAACCACATTCCTCAGAGCTGGGCAGCTTCGTCTCTTGAAGGGCTATCTGCAAGATGTATATTGCCTTTCCTATACAAACTGTATCTTGGGATCAGTAATAATCAATGAGAGGAAATTTCTCTTTATAGAAGAATTCAAGCTAGGAAGGATCATGAAATTGGAATATTGTAATTTTGCAACCTCTGATAACAAATTTAGACAGTTTATTGATGGTTGTTAACATCACATGCTCATAAAAGAAAGACTACCAGAAATTACATTTCCTGTTGGAGTATGCGAACTCCCCATGAAATGGCCCTACCAATAAGTCAAATTTAAATCTGATTAAGCCTCTAGATCTATTAATTTACTGGAAATACAGGGGACAGAGGTGCATGTTGAATGACCGCAA